CAGGTGCCAACGTGCACCAGCAAAGGTTATGTGCTTTTACGCACAACACAATTCTGTATAACATGAACGCAAGAGGACGACATGTAATCACCTTTGTGTTTCCAACTAGAACGCCTCACGCCTTGACAGAGCTCCAAAGTGGTTTTGCGATGTATCTAGATTAATTAAATCACACGTATGTAGTTAGTACAGCTGAACGCAAGAGGGCGCCATTCACACTTCTTATATACAACGAACCGTCTTTATTGACAAATTTAATATATACAAAAAAAATGTATACAAACTCTGAAAGAGGATGAACATACAACAGAAAAATACACAGGAGCAAGTTCATTCAAACATAAATCAAGACTAACTCTAACTCTAACTAACTCTGGGAACTTAGTATGCAGCCCTCTGTGGTAATCATAGAAAAACCTAGATTTCAGGATAGTACCAAAACTGTGGTTATCACTCCCGCAGAGCAGTCAGCTGGATCACTCAGTGACTCTCCTGTGTGCACAGCTGCACATAAGAGGACGTTAGGTTTGGCAAATATCAGTCAAAGAAAATAAACGAGGCAGGCTGAAATAAACACAATAACAAGGAATAAACGCAGTACAAATAAATGCAATACATTAAATTCATAAAAAATAAATACCAGAGATAAAATAGAAAATGTCTTTATTGACAAATTTAATATATACAAAAAAAATGTATACAAACTCTGAAAGAGGATGAACATACAACAGAAAAATACACAGGAACAAGTTCATTCAAACATAAATCAAGACTAGGGGGGATTATACATAAAAAGAAATAAATAAAAATCAAACTTTTCCAAAAGTAAACATCAGGCAAATGTAAGCAGACAACAAACTGGAGCAAGGACAAAAAAATTCAACAAGGGCCAGAAATCAAAACAACAAGAATTTCGATAAGTCAGCACTAATCTTTCTCGCAATCCTGCTAGATTTCATTTTTTTCAGAGAAAAGAAAAAATATTTGAAATAATTTAAAAACCAGTCAAAGGAGGGTTTGCTGTTTCTCCACTCACTGCAGTGAATATGATATTTACTCATGAGTAAAATAACATTTACCATGACAGTAATTGAAAGGTTTAAATTATCCATAAAATAGAGAATACTATAAGTATCAAAAGATGGAATATCATTCATTTTTAGCGACAACCAACTTCTAATGTTGACCCAAAATCTTTAAGACACAGACATACAAACAAGTGCTCTAAAGTCTCTTCAGATTCACCACAGAAAGCACAAGGGTTTTCACAAAATTGAACCATTTTTTGAGAAATGCAGCAGTGGGATAAATCTGGTGAATTATTTTAAAATGGGTTTCTTTCACTTTCTTTCACAGGCATCTTCATATATTTAGAATGTGCTTTAGTCAGAACAGAAAGCTCAATTAACTCTGGGAACTTAGTATGCAGCCCTCTGTGGTAATCATGGAAAAACCTAGATTTCAGGATAGTACCAAAACTGTGGTTATCACTCCCGCAGAGCAGTCAGCTGGATCACTGAGTGACTCTCCTGTGTGCACAGCTGCACATAAGAGGACGTTAGGTTTGGCAAATATCAGTCAAAGTCAGTCACAATAACAAGGAATAAACGCAGTACAAATAAATGCAATACATTAAATTCATAAAAAATAAATACCAGAGATAAAATAGAAAATAAATGGATAAAACAAATGAAAACAATACATAAAAAAATGCATATGCAGCTCTTGTTTTGAATTTTCGTACCTCCAGACCCACATGTAAGAAGAGATAATTTACTAAAATGGTCAGATTATTTTTTAAACTTAATTGTTTATAGAGTATTTGGCAAAGCTACCCTCTCAGGATTGGAGAACGTTATGTACCTGCAGTCTTTCTTCTCTTTCCCTGCACTGGATCCAAACCCTGAACCTTCTCTTTGTCAGGCAGCAGTCCTTACCACTACACCAAGTCGCTGCCTATCAGAGCCTGCTTTCTTATATATTATATATATACATATTTCAAAGTCAGAAAGCGAGAACATTCCAGCTCCACTGGGAAGGACCTGGCCTGGGGGTCAAACCCAGAACCTGCTGACTGTAAGGCGGCAGTGCTAATCACAACACTAACAAACAAGACTGGAGATGCTTGCCTGTGCAGGTTTTTGCACTTTCCAGTGTATTTACAGTAGGTAGATCAAAACTGTGGTCAATGTGAACCGGTAGAAAAAAAGCCAGAACACTCTGGCTCCACATGGGATTTGATCCCAAAACTCTCTTGGCTGGTTGTTAACTGTTAGGCAGATGTGATCACCAGCACACTAGTGCGCTACCTTGCTACTCAGGACATGTATATGTTCTGTACAGCTGAGCGGCTCCTCATGCTCACTTGTTTGTTGAAATAGGAAATCAAATCACATATTTATTTTTCTGATGCAATTTTCTTGCATCAGATAAGCAGAAAAAGAAATGCTCAGAGCCACAGCTATGATGTAAAAAAAAAAAAAAGTGGAACTAGCTCAGATCTAATCTCATGACCTGAAAGAGATAAAGACTGTGGTCACGCGAACAACAGGGTCGCATAACCTCTGACTCTGGTCAAAGGGTGTTTCTGGTGCTGAATGAGGAATGAATTCCTACATCTATTTCCCACAACTTTCAATGACTTCTGCTTTTCTTCTTTTTTTTTTGTGTGTGTGTGGACATAATGTGTTTCCGGAATCAAGAAACAATGTGCACACTCAAGATTAGTTCATAAGTGATCCCCTGTCATGATTTGGTCTTTTTGAGTTTAGTTTTTCAGTGTTTAGTGTTTCTTCATGTTCTCGTGTGTTTTGTTCATTCTTGAGTTCTGTGTGTCTTCAGTGTTTCATGTATTTATTTTGTAGTTGTCCTCAGTGTTTCTTGTCTTGTGTTCATTGCTTCCTCTGTGTGTTTCCCTCCAGTGTTGGTTGCCCTCATTGTCTTCACCTGTGTCGTTAGTCTCACCTGTGTCTGATTACCCTTTGTCTATTTAGTCTCTGTGTTTCTTCCTTTCTGTGTTAGTCCATTGTATGTATGCTGTATGCTGTATGTTGTATGCTGTATGCTGTATGCTGTATGTTGTATGTTGTATGCTGTATGTTGTATGTTGTATGTTGTTGGAATGTCAATTTTGCTCGTGCTCCTCTGTGGCTCTCTGTTTTTGATCCCTGTGTTTTTTGTTGAACTTTGGAAATTAAGTTTTGTTGCCTTTGGCCTTCTTGTTTAATTAAATATTTTTGGTTTCTGCACTTGGGTCCACCTCCCTTGTTTTACACACCAAAACCGTAACATCCCCACCACCCAGGTAACGGACAGTTTACATGGCTACCCTCTGGCCGGTGCCTTCGACACATCAAGGCGAACTCAGGAAGAGCTTCTTTCCTCAGGCTGTCCAGGCTGTTAACGCCACTCTCTTCAGTTAAAAAACAAAACAGAACTGTGATGATGTACACACACCACACATTCCAATCTGCACATTGCACTTAAACACCCTGGACACTTTACACACTGACACCTTACACTGTTTACATTATTCTATATTTTATATTTTGTACATTCAAATAATTATTTTATTTTTTACATTATATTCTATTTTACTGTATATATGTGTATTAGTAATTTGAGTGTTTATTGCATGGCCTTGTGGAACAGTCCTTACATTTCACTGCACATCTGTATGAGCATGTGACAAATAAAAATCTTGAATCTTGAATCTATTAGAACACAGAAAAAATGCCAGGATGTTGGCATAGAATGGGAAAAATACAACGTATACAACTCGAAGAAAGACTGGAGAACTACAAACTCTGAGGTCAACAAACGAGTCCTATCGGCTAACAAGCTAGAGGCATTTTTCAGTTGAAGTTTTTCTGAGTTTGACTGTAGTTTTCTGGCCTGCCTTTGCTCTGCTGAGTCATGGTCCTCTATCAAAGAGAAGCCTGAAAGAGAACTTCTTTTAACCAACATTCTCTTAAGGTTGCTGCCAGGTCAGGCCTTGGCAAGCTTCAATGGTTACATCAACAACTGAGGCTTGGATTCGGCTCCTCCTGGATTTCTGTGAAGGAATTGCTTTCACTGAATGAGAGAATAGCTCTTCTGTAGTAAAACATCTGGACATGAGCCTCTGACAGATGTTCAGCTTCACCATCGATACATTTGGCCGTGTTGATGTTTTTCCAACTGTCTCATCCAACAAAAAAAAATCCTGAAAAAGAGGCTGAAAAAGAGTTGCCAAAACAAAACAGCTCCCTCTGCTGGTTGAAGAAGAGAGAATTCCAATATAATTTTTTTGTCAATTTTTTTTTTTTTTTTAATTGAATTGTTAGGCATCGTTACACCCCTAATTAACTCTGGTAGAAAGTAACTCTAGGTTGTGTCTTTTTTTTTCCAAAGGGAATATTGAGGTTTATAATTATCTACTGTGCATGGGTGGTTCTAGGCAGGGTCCAACAGGGGCCAGTGCCCCTGTAACACTGAGCTTGGTCCCCCTTGTGGCCACCCCTCCAAAAAGGAAGAGCCCCCCCTAATAACACATACACATTATTTGACTCACAATCTAGTATTAAATACTGTTACTAAAACAAATAGAAATCATGGTATTTAATGATGTGCGCTATTATTTGGCATAATATTTAAATATTTTTTAAAGCGATCATCTATGTCTATTTTTCACCTGGGTTTAATGTTCCCCTCTGACAAATCAACTGGCCCCAGTTTGGCCCCCTCAGTGAAAAATGGTCTAGAACCGCCACTGCTACTGTGTATTTTATTTGTTCCAGCAATCCACTGAGTTCAAAAATCAAAATCTGAATCAGATTTTTCTTTATTTGTATAATTAATATCTGGCATGTACACACTCGGTAAGAATTAAGCAGCAATTCAGCATTTTAGCAAGAAAAACACCGAAGAGTAAGATAAAGGAAATGGTACAGGATGGTTATAATGGGAGGATGTTTTTTTTTTTTTGCGTGGGCCGGAGAGTCCACACACCCTAAGGCGTCATTTTTGGGGAAGTAGTTACTGCGAACTGTATAGCTGAAGCTAACTTTACTCTTGTTCACACCACATTGTAACACATTTCTTTGGAATGAAAAAAAAACATCCGCAACAGACTCAGCCCAGTTCCTGAAGCAGCATTAAACGGGGTGGGGATATCTGACTGTATGACAGTATTTCACTGCGCTGAGACGTGTGACAGCGTGTTCTGCCAGGTCTGCGTAAAACATCCATCTCTCCAGGATGTTTTGGTTCATGCAGGGTCTCTGCTTTCTGCCTGTGTTTTTGGTCATCTGGTCCTCTAGCACTTTCATTATTTCCTACCTTATTGCGCTTTTCAGACGTGATGTCGACATAATCTTCCCATACATAAGGTAAGTTCTGTGTTTAAGGGAAGCGCAGAGGAACTGGGGTTTCTGTAATCATTACAAAAAGCCTAATCTGAGGTATTAAAATGCTCATTAAATTCTGTTTTCAGTGATTTCTGTATGAGAAACCAGGCATGTGCAGTTACAAAGTTAACTTTCGTTTTCCTCCGCAGTAGTTTGGCTGGTACCCAAACTCCAGCTGCACGTACACATCTGCAGCAACTTCAGTTTTTCACTTCTCCCTTGGTTGTTAACTTTAGAAGGGTGCACAGACATTTAAATTTTAAGAAAATAAAACCCAACAACTTGTCGGATACAAAGAGACTTGCAGCATGCTGAGGCTTAACTGAGGATTGTCTTCCTTCTTCCTTTTTAGTGACACAAGTGCACAACCCCCAGAGAGCTGCATTTTTGGCCTTATGACATTCATCTCTGCATGTGCAGGTATTTTATTTTTTTTTCCCACCTCTGTCACTTTAAGAACATCTGCAGTGTCACATTTGTAAACTTCTTCTATTGTGCAACTTTGAACATTGCCAAGCGAGGAACCACATTGTCTGAAGATGTCACTCACAGTTTCCCTTTTTTCAAGGAAATGAAATCAGAATTAATTTGTTGGATGCAAGAAGATTAAAAAGTGACAGACGTTGATTAAATCTTTGTGGCTAATCCTTCATCTGACCTTTCCACAGTAATAGCCACCATGTACGCCAGGTACAAATATGTGCAGAAGCTAAGCGAGGAAACGCATGTGGTGAGCCCCTGTCTCAATAGAAGTGCTCTTTATGTTGGGATGGTGTCCTGTTTGGGCATGTGCATTGTTGCAACCTTCCAGGTATGTCTTCACATGTAATTCCAAACGTGTATTGTAATCACATAAAAGTCATTTAATATTTAATGTCACATTTCCTGCTTTCCATTTGCAGGAAATAACAGTGACATTCGCTCATGATATAGGAGCTCTGCTTTTCTTCGTGTCGGGAATCTCCTACATTATCCTACAAACTGTTGTATCGTATAAGGCTTATCCATATGGGTGCTCCAGGAAGGTGATCGGAGTACGCTTGTGTATCTCCATCATTGCTACTTTAGCATTTTTCCCCAGTATCCTTTCATCAGAAGTCAGATGTTATCAAATACAGACCTACATGATTTCTCTCGTTTCCTGATTTCCTCTCGTCATGATCATTTTTTTTTGCCATGACCAGTAAATGCAAACTGCTCTGTACTTTACAGTTACTGTTAAACGCTATTTTCCTCAGTGAATAATCCAGCTGTCGTCTGTGCATATTTTGTGAAACAAACCGAGCTGCACAGAGACCCTGACGACAAGGTAAGGCACAGGTGTCACATACTTATCAGAGAAGTTCCACGAGGATTGGATGGAATACATTTATTTTGTTTTTTGGAAATGATTTCAATCAAAAGTGAACTCATTTGTATCCCTGGATCTTGATCGTGTTCTGAATGCAGCATCTGTGTGTCTCTTTCAGGACTATCCTTATCAGTTAGCCAGCGCTGTGTGCGAGTGGACGGTTGCATTCAGCTTCATTTGCTTCTTCTTCACATACATTGACGATTTCAAAGTGAGTAGAAAACAGTCACGACGGACACTCTTCTTCTCCTCTCTGTCGTCAGATGGGTGTTCTTACTTCTCTCCTCTTCTCCTTTCCTACAGCTTTTTACTCTTCAGGTGAGGACAGTGAACGAGGGTTAGGTCCTGATCCGTCTGCAGCTGCCAAACTTGAAACAAACACCAGCTTTTTTTTAGATTCTGAAGATGTGCTGCACTTATTTTTGTAAAGATTTTAATCTCTTGTATTATTTTTTTTACACCGTTTTTACAACATTTACGCTGAAAAATGATTTTTGTGAATCATACAGCCTGACTGAATATGTTGATAGATTATAGCTGGTCCTTTTGACGTTCGTATTTATACATACCTGTGAGTCAGGAGTGGTTTTAAAGAGGGGAAAAAAACTGACCACAGCCTGTATCTTTATATTTTTTTATACAATCTGAAATCATTTATATAAGTGTCCTGATTGGTGCCCGTGTTTTGTCACTTTGCACTTTGCCCTTGATTGCCACACCAGCGTGTCATTCTGTCAGACCTGTGACACCAATAAGAGAAGTTCATCACACAGGGAACACATGACTATCACACGTTTGAATGGGGGAAAAAAAACAATCAAACTGACACACGTGTTCTGTGTGTAATTATGAGAAAATATGATCAGTGTCAATGCAAGATTCTTGGGGAAGCTGCCACTTCACTTATCAGTGTTTTTATAATTTTATAACAGCTTGACTTTTTGTATCAGGCACAGAGTTTAGATTTAATTGCACTTACTGTAAACGTTTCCCAGTTGGAACAGATACGGTTTCTTCTCAGGCTGCTACATAGTTCATCAGTGCAGCTCTTATTATTGTATCTTGAATGTGTCTACAGCCTGGAGCTCATGCACTGAGAATAAGGCTGCTACGTGGATACGTTTGCTCAGGCAGATTCAATCACTTCAATGTCATAAACAGAAATGGAGCTGTTTGTGAATTAAAGATGGATTTTTTTTTAATGCTGTTACGCAGACAAATTCTCTGCTTCAGTTCAATTTCTTTATGCAATACAAGCCCCAAATGTGTGTTTGCCATCCCTAGACAGGATGTTGTTTTTATTTGAAAGTCTTTCAGGAGCTTGAGGAAAAAAAACTGTATTATTGATTCAGAAAATGTTGAAAAATAAAAACCCTGGGAATTTGGGAACCTCTCGTCGAGGGCATGAGACTAACATATGGTTTTTCCAAAGCCACAATCCTGGGTTGTAAACTGTAAGAAGACAAAATAGAGACACAGATCATATTCATGTTCACTACAGATACTGTCTTCACAAAGGAGTTGATGCTTCATTCTATTACTGTGTATTGGTGTTCTGTGAATGAATGTACTATACAAACAAAGGAGCACTGCTGAGCTACAAAATAAAGAAACACTTTTTTTTTTTTTTTTAAAGCAAATGGATTGTTTATTTATTTCAACATTACTTTAGAGGGGAAAATAGAGAGGCCTTCCAGACTTCTTTAACTTTTTCAGTCATTATGGTGTAAAATCCATTCATGGGAAATGTGCATGAATTTGACTCTCTCATTTTGTTGCTCATTCAAACGTTACTCAGTTTCACAACTGTACATTTTTTTGAGCATGTTGTCACAAGTCCTGATAAATGCAATGTGATCTGTCGGCACAACCGACAAAGTTAAAAGCTGCAGTTTACTTTTTTTTTTTTTATAAAGGCTGTTTTCTGGGTTTTATAGTAGAGATAGGACAGTGGATAGAGTCGGAAATCAGGGAGAGAGAGAGAGTGGGGGAAGACATCGTGGAAGGGATTCAGACCCGGGACGCCCGCCTGGAAGACCACAGCCTCCGTACATGGGGCGTGCGCACAAACAACCACTAATCCACCATCGCCCCAAGTCGACTTTTTAAGTGTTTTTACATCTTGTTTACTCTTTATTTATGCAAAGGTTAGTACACAACACGGTGTTATCACCAGAGTATTTTAGAACTCCAGCAATCCACTGAGTTCAATAATTAAGTGGAACTACAAACAGACAATGCATCCCTATTTATTTATTATCGTCTTCAACTCATAACACAGCAGGGAGTTTTCAGTTGGTGAGTCAAAGTACTTTTTTTCAGATGCAATATTTAGATTTTTATTAACTTTTTTAATTAATTGTTAACCATCCTAAATATATCAAATAATTAAGTGTGCAACAAGGCCTGGACTTGGTCTAAATACTTCTACTTTAATTAATAAAGCAAGAGAGGTCTTACACTTTGTGTGTGGTCGTTTCTGTCGCTCCGACGTGGCCAGATTTCATCAATTGTCCAAAAAATATACACATTGTCTGTGTCAACTAGGTAACACAATTTAAAAGTATGCAATCATTTGATTTGTTTATTATAGTCTGTGATTAATTTGTATGAAAAACATCACCGTTTTTACAGCCTCAACGCGTGAGAATAAAAAGTGATATTAAGCATCCAGTTCAAGGACAAGAAGTCTAAATATTCCTGAAATAAAAATGTTATCGTGTTCTGTCATCGTCTTTAAAACAGAACTACAAAGTACGAGTTACACATTGAAAATACCCAACCTGCATTTTTGGTCCTTTTTTTTTTTTTTTTTTTTAACTCAACCCTGTACAACAGCATTTAATCATTTGAATTCCTCTCAGTACAAAAGGTAAAAGCTACTGCCACCTTATGAAGACTACTGCTAATACAATCAACAAGGAGTTCATTCTTTTTATTTCAACAGTAGTCATTGGTGAAAAATGCTAAATGTATCAAAATGGACGAGGTCACAGACTATGTCAGCTTTCACTGAAATGGCACTCACACTGACTCCTCTGTTTCAGGCACTTCTATTTGCACCCTCTCAGTTTTTACAGACACAGCAAACCTACTTTTCTCACGCAGATCGGCTTTTACAGGAAGCTTTACAGATGAGGTGGGCGGAGGATGTGCGATGTCAGTCACTGAAGGATGATTCACTGTCTGAGCTGGTGGCAGCGGCGTCTTGATCCTCGGCCCCCCCTGCTGCTCCGTCTGGCACGGGGGCATCGGGTGTGCTGTCACAATAGAAGGAGGGAAACATTATCAGTCAGGTTTATCAGATGTTTTACATGATGCCACATGAATTCAAAGAGACACTCACTCAAGCAAGTTTGGATCCAAACCCTCCAAGACCATTTTATTCCTGATAGCCAAAACCGGAACTCCCTGGAATAGAAATAATATAATGTCAGGCTGTCTGAACTTTGTTTTACAGGTTTTCAGGAGTGCATGTGTAAGAAACAGCTTGAGAAACAGAAGGAAGGAGTGTTTTTTTTTTTTTCTCTGTGCAGGACTTACCACTTGAACCATTTTCAGGTATCGTGCGTAACGCGGGTCCTTGCACACTGTCATCACATTCTCTGCAGCCGTGTTGTCTTCTTCTATTGTTTCTGTTATTGTCGGCTCTGGAGCAGTCTGGACGGACAGCAACATGGAATATAAATATTAACAACAAGAGAGTGTGTAGTAACGAGTGATTAAGACAGCACAGGATATCAGATGTGGTACCTTACTTCTTCTTCGAGGTGGTTCTCTTAAGTAGGTTTAAAACCGGTAACTTAACTCTATTAAAATCATTAGTTCTGTTTTTTCTCTTTGCTATAGAGTGCAATAAATTATTATTTAGGTATTTTGAAGTAATTTTCTTAGTTGCACACTGGTTTAAAGAGACAATTTCTACACTTTGTGTCTGCACTAAATATGAAACTGCAGCAAGAAACTGGTTAGCTTAGCATAAACAACGGTAAAACATCTACCGAGCAACACTTCTAAAGCCAGCTCTTCTGAACTCTCTACTGCACATTTTATATTTGCACACATACTGAAGTGTAAACCAAACAGGTTGTGGTTTTACGGGGGTGTAAGGTGCATCAACTACTTCTTCTTGAGCATGCTGACGCATTGCCAACTGGTTATTAACCTCCATCAAATAATGCTATATATGGTCGTTAGTGTGCATGTGAATGTGTTTACCACTGGCGGAGGCAGAACGGCTGGAGGTGGAACTTCTGTCTGGCTCTGAATAGTAGTAGTGGGTCCATTAGATTGAACAGGTTGCTGCTGACTGGATCCTTCTATTGTGACATCCTCCAGTCCAGGAATGGAGGACAGCTGCTCAGAGCATCACAATATTCAATACATGGTCAGTGCATTAGCGAGACAGTGCGTGTGGAGTGTCATGAACAGCAGAGGGATTCACTTAAACACTCACCTTTGCTTCCAAAATGCACAGGGTTGTTTCTATTTGCTGTATGCGAAGGGAAATGTTGGAAAGTTTCTCCTCACACACTGTGGAGAAACGATTGAGGAACCGGACAGTGTGCACAACAAACTGATTGAGATAGGCAACCACTCTTCTCTGTTGAATAGCAGGCACCTGCAGGAAACAGATATCATATACATCTATTTTAAGAATGTACCCAGGGCTTATTTTACTAAGTAAATGTCCTTATCAGAATAGAGGCATTTCTGCCATGTAGGTTTGAACCCACTGCAACCTTTGAATATAAACATAGATATCTTTGTAATGTTAACAAGTTTATAAACATATCTATGAAATTAATACTTACACAGGAAATACCTTTTTTCAACAAAAACTTTGAAAATCTATAAAATAGTATACATTTGCTTTATAAAAATGTATTTACTGGCCTCTGGTCACTTCCTGTCAGCACCTGTGTGTCCAATCAGACTCAAAGCTGATCGTTTGCTCTTACTGACATTGTTCCCTTTTTTTCTAGATCCTTGCTTGTGTTGTTCTTACTCTCTGACGTACGTCGCTTTGGATAAAAGCGTCTGCTAAGTGAATTGTAGAATTGTAGAAAGACAATCGTGCAGCTTTGGCAGCAAAACCAAACATATACTTAAACATATACTTGTGACTAATTAATTGATTTTTATAGGAAATGTCGTTTTTTTTAATGAATGACGGCTAAACTTAAACAAATCGGGATAACATTGTTCTGACAACAGGCAACCAGAAGTGCAACAGAATAAACAAAACAAAAATATGAAGGCTAACATGACATCAAACAAGACGACTGTAAAAATCTAAACAGTATCAGTAACATAGTCTAATGTCTAGACAGGGGGAAAAAACCTTTCATTAATTAATTATACCTGGTATTATTGTATTATTGTATTTTTTCTACCTTTATTTAACTGATGTACATATGTTTGATTTTTATCTTCTTGTTATTTTTAATAATTATATTCAGGGGTGCAAAGATAAGATTTAAGAGATTATAAGATTTACTTTTATTGAGGGAAATTTTAGTTTTCACACTCTGTAGTCATGCAACACACATAGGCTGAAGTATATACACACAAACAGGATCCTATGAACATGCACTAAGGGAGAGATGTCAGCGTGACGGAGCGGCCCACAGTGGGCGCTCCTGAGCCGGTGGTGGGGAGGGGGGTTTGGTGCCTTGCTCAAGGGCACCTCGGAAGTGCTCAGGAGGTGATCTGACACCTCTCCAGCTACCAGACCAACGTCCATGCTTGGTCCGCACCGGGACTTGAACCCAAATCCCTACAGACTGAGCTACTGCCGCCCCCCTTTTTTTTAATTTTTTTAATTTTTAATTTTTTTTAATTTTTTTTAATTTTTATCAGGGATGAAAAAGGTGACATGGATCCAAAAAAAGACTGCAGGATTTTTTTTTTTTTTTTTTCAGCTTGTAGAAGTTGCATTTGTCAATTACTGCAATTGACACCATTTTTGCACACATGGAAACTGACAGGGAAACATGAATATTAGTGCATTTACTCTGTTTGTGCAAAACAAGTGAATCGGCAGCTTTCAAAATGCATTAACTCTCTCTGTGTGAAATTTGTCTTTTACTAACAGTCATAGTCTGGTTTGCATATACTATTAACTGTCTGAACTGTGTCCTCTCTTCATGTCAACACGTAGCTAGCAGAAGGGTTCATGTTAGCTATGTGAGGAATACAAACCTTAGTAAGATCAACACCAGAGCCCACAATCGGCAGTCCGTCCTCGTCCATGTTGAATTAAAACTCCCTGCAGCTTAAAGAGCACTTTTAGTTTCTGCGGTTCAAGTTTTTCTCGTCAGAAAGACACAAAGTAGCACATTTAAAAAAAAAAAAAAATTCGGATGTGAAATGTTTCATGTGACTCTGGACTGCGTCATCGCGTCCTGACGTCACAGACCGACGGCGTGAGGACGCATCCGCTTGAAGCAGCCAATGGGATCCGTTGATATTTTATTTTGAAGCATATTTTTGGCATCTCAGTTTGATTTCGCGAGATTAAACTAGAGTTGGTTACACAATATAGTAGTGGGAAATAATAATAATAATAATAATAATAATAATAATAAAATAAATGTGAAGTAAATACAAATAAAACACTAAGGGGAGGGGTAGACTTTTATTTTGAAAGAGGAAACACACCGGACGAGTTGAGGAAACGGGCGCTTGCGTGCTAACAGCGCATGTTAGTCCCCCCCCAAAAAATTAAATAACATTATTTAACATTTATTTGTTGACGCTACATGAACCTAAATTGCACTAATGGAGGCTTTTGAGTCAAAAGAGAAAGTTAATGGTACGTACTTTAATAACCTGTCCCCTCTGTGATCCAAAACAGGCTTTGTTTATGTTAGTCAGCTGCTGGTGGGACCCGTCTATTTAAAGGAACTAATATCTGTCATAAACTGTCAGGCTTTTTCTGTTGCATTACTTATGCATTATTATTCATATTAAGTTAAACATTTAGTTGGTCTGAGGTGTAAAAGACAGCTGTGAATAATAGATTTGTCCAGCAATTATACTGCTTCATAGCCATAAGGCAGGTTCAGGATTTCTTAGATTTTGTTTATTTATAGTTCTATCATGTCATTTTTGATTATTTCCATTTAAAAAAATTGTTTAAAATACATGGATTTGGTAAAAGAAGTGATGCTGAGTTCGTCTGCATGTGCTTTCTTCAGTGTAAAGCTCACTGATGCCCTCATCAGATCATCTCTCCCATTACAACTTGTGTCATTTTTCAGATCCAAGCCTGCCTCTCCCATCTCTGCGCCTCCTGGTGCCCCCGCTGCAGCTCTTGTCCGCTGCTATGTGGCAGCTGGCGAAGAGGAAAGATGTGCTGAGTTACGAGAAGCTCCAGGAGTTTGTGTGCACGGTGACGGAGGCGGCCCCTGGACTCATCAACCACAGACAGAGAGCCCAGCTGATCCTGGGTCTAAGAGCGAGGGTGAGCGGGAGTTCAGTTTGGTGACATAATCCATTCACACATAACAGCTCAAAGGCTTTTGCTGTAGCAGTTTGTTGATATTTCAGTTGATTCTGGAGCTTTGCAAAGGCTCATCGCGAGGTTCTGTGGATTCTCAAAGGATCCAGAGCTACTTGGAAAGACTCCCTGTAACCTCGACACGGACAGATGTAAGTTCAGTGAACCAGCGCCTTGTGAAAACTTGTAATGATAATCAATCAATGACGTGAACCCTGTCTGTGGCAGTACAGGGATGCTGAGGTGAAGACAACAGAGTCCACTTTCATTGCACTTGTTCAGAGCCTGCTAAAAGATCCAGTTGAGAGAGCGTATTTCTTCCAGGTCAGACATATTGTAATCATTTCATATCTTGATGCTGCTCCTAATCAGATGTATAGTAAATGAAAATCCGGTGATCTTTTTCCAGGAGGTGTTCCCAGTGGAATACGGGCCTCGGTATGATGCCGCTCTGCATGTGATACTGTGGGAGCTGCTGTCAAAGCTGGAGAAGCTGTTTCCAGTTCCAGACTTAAAACAGGTATTCGGACTGTCTCATGTTGTTAAACGTGCCGTTCACCAGAAACTTTAAACGCCTCTGCTGTGTGATGACAGACTGCGGCCTGGCTCGGCTCGGCTCCTTCTGTTTTGGAGGAATGTGTCGAGACGTCACCCGAAGAGCTGAGCGCCATCTTCAAACACTACAAGAGTTCAGGACTGCTGAAGATGCCATGTGAGTAGAATCGATTACATACTCTTATTTCAGCCTCTTATATATAAGTATATAAGTCCTGCTTCTGGATTTTTTTAAATATCAGTTGTATTATTAATGATTTACTTTTAAAACTCCACTTTTGATCTTTGCTTTTATGTCTTGTGTAAATTTGCCTCAAAATTGTTTGCCAACAGTTGAGCCTAAAATAGTCATTTTAAGCCAAAGAAAAACACCAGTGCTGTTAGGTTGTACAACACAGAATGAAAATAGATTTAATTTTAAAGCATGATATTTGTATTTGCTAGTGTAACTGAATCCTCAAGAATCAGGAAGAAATGGGAGTGTTTAAGTCATTTTGTTTATGTTTTTTTTCACAGATGGTCCTTCGTCCACCATCGGCAGCTGCATAATGTCGGCTCTATCCATCCCTCCCTCACAAAAGACAAACATCTCTGTTGGACTGGAATCCATCCACAATTACGCCAACGTCCTGAACCCTGTCACTTTCGTCAGTACGGATCAGTACAGCGTTGTCGCCGTTTACACTGAAGTGGAGGTCGGTGCATCTGAGGTCGACGAAGAAACGGTGGAGGCCACTGAGGTGCAGGTTCAGACGGATTTCTATGAAGAAGAGATCATGGCCATGAGCGCGGAAAACGCCAGTGAGGAGGCTAACGGCTCACGGGCGGAAGAAACAAGCGACACTGCGGATGTTGCTAAAGCTCTGGAGACTCTGGCGAAAACATTTGCGCTGAGGAAGGAGAGCCTCGGTCAAGAAGTTCAATCAGGGAAGGAAGACTCGTCCCTTAATGATGAGCCGCGGCTGGGAGCAGCAACCGAGGAAGCAAAGGAGGATTTCCCCTCTGAAGATACAGGGAGCAATGTGAACTCTTTGGCAGACCTGAAGGATAATCATACATCCTTTTCTGCTGATGAAGAAGTCACAGAAGAAGGTCCAGGGTCTCCAGGTTCAGCTAATGTTCGCCGATCTACTCGTTTTCATGTGAAGACCTCAACCAGCAGGCAGAATGCATGTGAAGTCGAGAAGCCAAAAGAAACAACTGAAGAGCTAAAAATGTAGGCAACACATTTGAACTGTAATTCTATAATTAATTACCTTTTTATGCACCAATGTTGAACATCGAAACATCGGCCCATCGGCAAATAATGTGGAATGCAGCAATGTCAGTGTCTGATCTGTATTTGTTGTCTTATGGAAATCTGCAAACATCTACATTGTTGTTTCTTGTTGATTAACCTCAGAGATTTAAGACTGAAATCAATATTTTCAACTCTTTTCAAGAAGACAAAAAAAGCATGTTTCCTTACATTTTCCACTGTTCCTGTAGTCGTATTTTCAGTGTAACATTCATAGTATTTGTTGTTCCAAAACACGTCAAAGATGAATCTACAATAAATGATACAACACGTTTGTTTTCACAGGAGCAGAGCTGATGGATCTCTCGCCCCCTCCATCATAGCCATCAAAGGAAGTGAAGGTCATTCTCTAACATTAAACAGAGAAGCATTTTAGGTACATTTTATTTGTGAAGTCCCCTCATATCATTTCAAACCTCTGTCTCTCTTTATTTTTTTTTATGTGCAGGAGATTCAGAAGAGCTGACCTCGATCATCTTCACCTGCTCTCGCTGTCCCTTCCACAGCTCTGAAGAAAACAGCCCTCCTCACTTCCACATGCAGAGCGTTCGCACCGAAGAGTACAGGACACTTGCAGGCGCTACATTCACACCATCGCCTTCCGGCACGGATGAAATTTTCACGTCAATTAAACTTTTCCCCAAAGGAAACACGGAGCAGGATGCAGCAGAACAGGATGAGAGTCCAGGCAGAGTAAGCGTGTCTCAGCCCCAAAGCAGACAGAAGGCCCTGACATGTGAAACGTGCGGCAAGACGTTCACACGCACGTCAGATGTCAGGAGACACCAGCTCATCCACACTGGAGAGAGACCATTTCACTGCTCGCAGTGTAACCGAACCTTCCAGCACTCGTGGGATCTCGCCAAACACGAGAGCAAACACCGCGGCGTGGACATTTCTTTCTCCTGCCAGCTGTGCGGCAGCTCCTTCCCCAACCTCCGCGCTCTCACCGTCCACCACAAGAAGTCTCACTCGCAGGAGAGCCAGCTTCCTCAGATCTGCTCCATCTGCAGCCAGAGCTTCACCACGTCCTCCGAGCTGCTCGAGCACAGGAAGTCCCACGTCGCCAACAAGCGCTACATCTGCCAGCAGTGCAGCGCGGGATTCGACACACTGCTCGCTCGCTCCAAGCACCGGCAGATACATCAAGTGAAGCATCAGTTTAAGTGTCAACACTGTGAGAAGACGTACACACGGAGATCTGACGTCAAGAGGCATTTAAGGACGCACACAGGAGAGAGACCTTACCAGTGCGACCAGTGCAGCAAACGCTTCTCTCTGCGCTTCTCGCTTATGAAACACCTTCGCGTTCACACAGGCGAGAGGCCTTTCCAGTGCTCCCAATGCCAAAAGAGGTTCACACTGGTCTCAGTGCTCGCTAGGCACGAGAGGATGCACACAGGGGAGAAACCGTTCCTTTGCTCTCAGTGTGGGAAGGGCTTTTTGTCGCAGGGTGAGCTCACAAAACATCACAGGTCACACGTGGACGTCAGGCCTTACTCCTGCAACCTGTGTGACAAACGCTTCAAGAGCAAGAAAACCCAACAGGAGCACATCGTCTCCCATACTGGTGCCCGTCCATACCCCTGCACCTACTGCGGGAAGGGCTTCACAAAACCGTACGCGCTCACCAGACACAATCTCATTCACACGGGGGAGAGGCCATTTCCCTGCGCGCACTGCGAGAAGACGTTTCTAACCCTGAACGAGGCGCAGCTGCACCAGCGGATTCACACGGGGGAGAGGCCGTACCCCTGCAGCGTCTGTGAGCTCAAATTCAAGAGCTCGTCGGTGCTGGCCCGACACAAACGCTGCCACTCAGGGCTACGGACGCAGAAGCCGTACTGCGAGAAGTGCATGACAACGTTCACATCCAAGGCCAGGCTGAAGGAACACATGGAGACACACAGAGAGGAGGGAGACGCAGCACAGTCTGTGAACACTTTAAAGCCAGAGGAATTGAACAGTTAAAAAAATAATGATTACCTGTGTGGTAAAAGAATAGTTTTCATCAGGAGAGGTCATATTTTAAAACGTCTTCTCTTGACCTTACTGTCAAATGTTTGACAATTGAAACTGATGGGTTTTTCATACTCACTAAATCACAAAAAATCGTTGTTTTTTTTTTAAAGAAATAAATTTGACAAATCATTTTTATACTTTCATGTTTACTATCTTCTCCCAACTTGTCTTTGGAGTCTGTTACAGAGAACTACAATTATGTTTACCTCATCCTTATTTGAATTTGAGATCATAGCTGAAACCAAATCATTAATTAAAAATATTTTTTTACTTCTTTCCCTGTCTATTTCTCTCTTTGCTCTTTAATCGGGTGCATATTAATATTAGAAAACATGACGTTTTCAAAAACAGGTTAAGAATAGGAAAATGAGAAAGGCTTGATTATTTGATAAAAAAAATAAAAAAAATCCATATTATTAATAAGCCCCGGATGTTGTGTGACTTACAGCATACTATTCCAATAAAAAAAATGTTTTTAATGAACAACATTCAGATACTTTTATGAAAAAGGACAGAAGCTAAAGTAAAAAAAAAATGTATTACATATCTATATATGCTTTACAAACGTTACTGACTTTATGAAGTGTATAAATGTTTTAGCTGAGAACACTTTCAGGAAATCAGGTGGGGTCACTCTCTGTTAATTCACTGTAGCGCCACCATGAGGTTGATATTTTTGCTGTGTAAGTGACATGTCAGTACAACTATTGGGTTTAACTGCCATGAAATGGGTTATTTTGTGTATATTAATTCTCCAAACATTCCCACAGCACCTTGATCAGGTAAAAACATTTAAATGAAGTTTGTGTCTAAATACCCGCAAAAACATTTACATCCACATAAACCTCATCTGTAGGCTACTGTTAGTTTGGAGTGGATTAGCCAATGCTAACATGCTAAACCAAGACAGAGCACAAGGTTAATGAATTATGTTTAGGATTAGCCTTTTAGCTCCACTGTGACAAAATACAGCTTTCCAGAGCAGGTAGCATGGCATGAGTTTTTTATTTTTTATTTTTTTTACTAATTCAGGCCTTGTAAAAACATTTAATTTAAGGAACATTTCGGCAACAAGACAGAAAGTTTGAGAAACACAGCTTAATTAAGGGAGTTTCCTATGTGTTGCTTCCATTGTCTTTCAAAAAGGGTGATTCTGCAGGCACCAAAATAGAGAAATGGTTTCCCCAAGGCTCTATCTTCATGAGGCTGTGCCAGGGGTTTCTTTGATATCTCATTCTGCAAGTGTCAGGTGATGTATTTCCTTCATTTTTTGTCTAGAGTGCACATAAAACCCAGTCAGCTGGTGGTTATAGAGCAAATATTAATTATAAGCTCCATAAACAGGACTTAATTTGCCTGCACATATCTCAAGCTGTCGGTGGTAAAAATCCCTCTGCATCACGCTGCATGCTGCTATTTTCTGTCTAAACTGAAGAAATAGATGCTTTTGTAAGTCTTGGATAAATCTCAAGACACCAAACATTAGGCATTGTGTGATTTTTTTAAAAATGCTGTTAAATAAAAATGCGCTGCAATCCTTAAAAGCAAAATGTGGGATCTACAGCTTTAGTAAATAAACAACATTAACCTTCCTCTTCCCCTTCCAATGCATCTGGCAACTCCCCTCCCTGTCACCACTATTTTCACTATTATGTCCTTATGAAAAAGATCAATTTGAATGTCTTTAAATAACTGAGAGGCTTTAATTAGATCTGATTGGGCAGAGGCTCAACTGGAGGGAAGTCAAAAGGGAGCAGTGATCATTTAACAGGGGGAACAACCGAGTGCAGTTAAGGTAGAGGGGTTAGAGTGGGCGAGCTCAGCTGTTTGAAATTGATTATCTATTTTCAGCCTTGCATTTGTTTCTAAACTATTTTTAAAATTAAATAAGAGAGAATTGCTAGACAAGATAATAACACAGTTACTGGTGGTTGTAACTTTATTGTCAATGCTGCCATAAGTAGGGGACGAACAGAGGATGGAATAAGCCGCCGTCAGACCACAGCATATCATAATGTGGAAAAATGTAAATGGGCAGAAATTGAAACTCATTTAATTTGTCATGGTTCTACTTTACATTTTATTTTTAGTGACACAACAGTGGTTCTAAAATGTAAACAGAGATGTGGACAGAACCCACCCTTCATACACAGTTAACAGGTGTGTAGATGTTGCGATTCTGGACAACGATGTGCCTCTTACTTATTTGCTGATTATGTCCTGAACATATCAAAGTGAAAAGTGTTAAACATCCTCCTATTTTTTTTACAGTTAAAATGCATCTCTTACTTTGAAGCTTTGCGTTTCAAAATGTAAAAAAGTTTTGCTGCATGCTGTTTAACACTTATTCTGACACCTACACACCTACACACCTACACACCTACCCCCGCATTGGTGTCGGACATTAAAAGTAACACTATAGAAATGGTCAATCTCTATGCGGATTTTGTTTTTTTTTCTTTTTAAAGTCATAAAGAGGAATTAATATTAGTTTTAGTTTTTTTTTGTATCAGCTAATTACTCCTCAGAGGAACTTTCACATGACTTGCATATAACACAACTCAAATTGTAAAAGGTATACATCTTATGTGGAACTCTGTTAGAGGGTTTAATCTTAATAACTTCACATGCTTTTACTAAATCTTTTTGATTGGTTATCTTGTAGTTGGGTGAACATCAATTTAAAATGGTTTGCGATAGCTCAAATAAGTCTACAGTTTAAGATATGAATGTGTCTTCAGCATTCAGTTAGCTAGTCTACTGATTTCGTTCAGTTTCAGGTTATCATTCTGCCAGGTTAATTTAAACTGGCTTGATTATTAACCCTACCATGACCCAATAATTCATGCTTTCTTGGTTTTTGAGTTTTTTTGCACAGAAGTGTTATGATTAAATATTTGCTGTTTTTATTAAAGTCTTAAAAAAAAAGAACAGAAATGCTAATTTGTGTGTCATATCATATAAATGCAGCTCCATAGAATGACCAAACTTCAATTCTTAAATGCTTGGTGACACCCCTGGACCAGATTGTCGTACATAACATATGCCTGTTCTAGATTGTATTTTCATTCATCAGTATGTCAAACAAGGAAAGCTAGGGAGAGTTTTTACACTTCATAAAGACAACACACACTGATTAGATAGTAAGGGTGATTTCCCACACTTCTAAAAATAGATAGTTGTAAGACTAAACGGGATGCTCCTCCTCACCGAGAGGGGGTGTTAACGTAAAGAAATGATGTTTTTTCCACTGCAATCACCTCTCGTCTTGACCAGAGCGTGGGGCAGCAGCGAGGGAGTCGATGTATGGATGTGACTATCGAAGGAATTTGATGAGCTATTGACCATGCAGGTGGAAAAGAAGCCCGTAATAAACAAATAAATTGGTTTGCAACAAGGAGGCTGTGGATGCAGATAACAGCGCGACGCGACACCCATCAGTGTGATTTACAATCCAGCCGGCGTTGGTGGTCTCAGTGGTGGATTAATACCCGGTCATAAAGAAGAGGGGGGGGGCGGGGTTGTGCATTGCAGGAGGAAGAGAGTGAAGGCACTGATAGAGGAAAGAAGAGAGAGGAGGAGTGTGTGAAAGAGAGAAAGAGGGGGTACATAAAGCTGGTGCCGGGATCATGAGCTTCGCATTGCCTTACGGGTCGTTGTCTGCTCGGCCGAGTCCCAGCAGACGATCTTTGGACTGGGAGCACGAGCGGCTGGCAGTGCGAAGGCTTTCCTCACCGCGGGGTCTCGATCTGCTCTCTCCGCCTCCTCTTCCTCGCCGGCCCTCTGCGATCCCCGGCTACCTGCTGCCTTCTTACCAAGAGCAGGAGGAGCAGCTCCACCAGCAGCATCAGCGACTTTCCTTGTCCATCGGCTCAGAGGCCTCCCTGGCTCCTCCGGCACCTCCACCTGTGGGCGCCGTCCCACCTTGCTGCCGCCCAGTGGGAGTCATGCACCTCCTGCGCTTAGGTCTCCTGGCGTTCAGCTGCCTGTTCTGGGCAGCAGGCTTGGCCATCTTCACCCTGGGTGTTTGGGCACAGATTTCCCTTGCTGACTTCATGCTGCTGTCTGCCAATCGCTACCCCAACGCCCCAATCATCCTTCTGTCCACAGGGGCTGCTGTCACCACCTGGGGCTTCCTGGGTTGCCTTGGGGTGGCTGCGAATCTTCCCTGTGTTCTTAGGGCTTACGGGTTCTTTCAACTTGCTGCACTTGTTGCCGGTTTGGCAGCTGGCCTCTCAGGTCTCTTCTATCGCGAAGACATTGCCGGAGGATTTCGCAGTGGCCTACAGCGAGCGGTTGCCGGCTATACCGAAGATGAAGGGCGTGCGGATGCATTAGATAGCCTGCAGAGGGCCCTGGAGTGTTGTGGAGCTGAGGGTTGGCGTGACTGGCTCACTTCGGACTGGGCTTTCCAGCATATGACCTTCCTGCCCACTGAGAACGGCAGCTCGGTGTCCTTGCCGGACAGCTGCTGCATGAGGCGCAAGGGCTGCAAGAATCGACCTCTCCTGTCAGACTATGTTGAAGAAGTTGAAGCTGCAGGAATCCATCCACACGGCTGCTTCCGCAAAGTCTTCAGCTTGGTCAACGACAACGTCTTCCACATTGCTGCCACTGTGTTAGGACTGGCCTTTACCCAAATCGGAGGCATTGCACTGGCTTGTCTGCTGGCCAACAAAATGACACCGAGGCAACATCGGCGTGTTGTGGCACATTAATGGTCAATTTCACAAATAGCAACGCCTACTAAAGATTAACCAATTGGTTTGATTGGGAATGAATTACACCTTAGGAGTCATAGAGTTGCAGAGCGGGGATAGTTATTTTGAGCATCCAATTTCCATTGATATTCTGTGTAGACAGGTCACGTAACCAGCATGTTAAAACCTTTCAATGCTTGGATTAGTGTAAACTCTCCTGATTGAAAAGTTACCAAGTTCTTTAAAACATCTTGTTCTCTCTCTAAACTAAGTGTAAGCCATTGGACACCAGCCCTCAACTTTAACCCCTGTTGAGTATTTCATTGTGAGAAAAAGAACTAGCTAAAACTCAAACAAGAAGAAGCAAAGTTTTATAACTTGATTCTGGTCCTACAACTTGAAATCCATTAACTTTTAGTTTCTGGGCCAATAAAGATGAAAAGAGCAACACCATGTGTTTTTTATTCGAATTGTGAACATGTACCCTGAATTTTTGTTTGCCATGTCAAATCTCTTTTTTTTTTTTTTATAATCCAAGCATAGAAACATTTAGGATGATGGTCATAAACCCAGGTTATGTATAATTTGTTCCTATGTAGAGTAACACACGACCATGTAGGATATAATTACTGTAAAATTGTGGTGCTTTAGTGGTTCAAAAAGCAAATTTCGCAACCTGGAACTATTCACACTTTGCAAGTCTCTTACACTGACTGATTGCCAGATTGGGCAGCTGAACTGTAAATATAAGAAAAAAGTGGTTGGCAGTACATTGAGCTTTTGCCCCCTGATGAACAATGCAGCTTTGTAAAATAATTGTGTAAATATATGCATGGGTTAATACACTGCAATATATAAAATGTATGAAACACACCTACAACTAAAAAATGATTGAGTACATCCATTTTGGGTAACCACTCTGGTACACAACACTGAATGCACAGGAATGTTCACCAGCAGTTTCCACTAGACCTTATTTAGTCTGACTGTGTTCGACAGATGTTCATATCTACATCACTGAGTCTTCCCATCACAAAGACTTCACTATGCTAGAATGGGGCTTTAGAAAATCACCTAAATAATCTAATGTTGTCTGTAGCATATTATGCACTTTCTACATCTACAAACGCTGTACAGTATGAATGCCACTGTGTCGAGTTGCTGTAAGATGAAGACTGCTTGAAAAAAGTTTGTCCCAGACATCTCTGTTGCTAGAGTTTGTAAATTCTGAAGCACAAGTTGTTTTAAATCATTTCATGTGAATAACATTTCTGATGATGCTAGCATAGGCCTGCGTATGACGTTGTACAGCCGACTACTAGCATGAAACAACGAGTCTGGATAAGATTAGGATGTTCTCTTCTGCAACATAAAACTGAAGTTGACTTCAATAAAAAGCTTTGGAAAGTATTATTACTCATTTATTTGTTTATTTTTTTGCTTAATCAAAGAGGGAGAACATTTTGCTCATACTACTCTCATCTTTGAACGCTGAATTTTAAGCTAACACAAGGCGCTGGTTAGCCTAGCATAAAGACTGAGAGCAGGGGAATAAACAGCCGCCTGGTTTCGATTTTTGTGGAATCTGTTAAAAAACAGGAACTAAACAACAAATTTGTGATAATAAGTGAGCTGTTGCAGTCATTAGACTAGCTTGCTGGCTGTTTAAGGCTACGTTTAGCTCTGCTTACCTTCCTTTGGCTGCAGATTCATATTAGCCTTACATTGATCACATTTCATATATTCTATAGAATTTAACCTTCCAATTGTTAAAGAAAGTTAAACAAAAAAAATATTGCCACAAGCTAGCAACCTTTCTTTATTTCTTCTCTGGTCTTGATACTTAGCTAGGCTAACCGGCTGCTAGCCAGCTCAAAATTCAGTTCACAGACATGAAATTGGTATTTAGCATCTCATAAATAATACCAACAGGTTTATTTCCCAAAATATGATAAATATTTAACCTTATTCTAATATGTTATGTATGGAAGCCCATTTCCGCCAGTTAAAAAAATAAAAATGAAAATAATAAGGTCAAAATTATGAGATAAAAAGTCATAATAATGAGATAAAAAGTTGAAATTATGAGATAGAAAGTCATAATAATGAGATAAAAAGTTGAAATTATGAGACTTTATTATTTTTATTTTCATTTCTTTTACTGGCGGAAATGGGCTTCCATAGTTATGCTATGGGCTAGAGATTAAATTCATCATTTGTAAACCTCAATATCATCCATAACAACTATCATATTCAGGCCTTTTTATTGCCATTATATTTGTTAATTTTATATTATATTTATCCATATATATTATGTTTTATGATCAGTAAGACTGCAGACATATTTCAAATTGTAAATAACCGATATGTCATCTTCAAACAAAAATCGTTGCCTTGTTATGGCCTACTGAATATGATATTGATCAGACGCTGAGGGTAACGCCAAGGTCGCCTGTGCTTGAATATATTGAATATATTCATAAATCATTTTTTGATTTATTAAAATATTGGATTTGAGGATTTAATGTAAATCAAACCTGCATGGCAGAACGTTTGAATGGCATGCTGCATTTGAAGAACTTGTAGAATAAGCTCTCTGTTTTTGTTTTATCAGAAAGGCCGTGCTGGACGTCTGCCAGGGTGGTTGGTCCTCACTGGGAACTCTGGGTGGGCAACTCAGAGTTATGGTCAACTGGATGACATCTCATTTCTACCACCTGAGACAACGGTGATTAGATCTGCCCTTGAAGGGGAGACAACAGACACAGAAATCACCGCTTAACTTGATATGCCACACCAGCCTGACCCAGCATTGATTAGTTGATGGAGCAGAAAATCACATCCTGTACTGAAATTCAGTGATATGAAGTAAATTTTCTTAATATTATAAGAGCAATTCACATTCAGACTCGGAGAGGCTTAGTCACTCTGGCCGCTAAACAACAACCACCATTTTCATGACCTTATTATGGTATTGATTAGCCTACATTATGCTCCAATAAGGCTTGCGGATGCTCTCTGTCCCATTACACTGTCCTTGTTTCACCCATTTGGCCTGAGGTTGCTACATCCCCAACAGCTGTTTCATCACAGAGAATATGAGCTGTGAGAGGCATTCAAGCAACACCTTAAAGCTGGGAAACCACAAGGGACATTTGGTTAATAACACCAGTAAAAATACATTTTGGCTGGGTGCTTTACTGTTTTTGAGTTTGACAAATACAAATGTCCCCACCCACCATACGGGACACAAGACTGTGGAGTGAACAAGTTAAAGTTGCCAAAACACCTGCTTGTACTGAAGTGAACAAAATGTCTTAATTATGGATATTTAATAAGCATCACAGCATTTATTAATTCAGGATGCATGTAGTATAACCCAACTTAACACAGCATTTTGAAGTTGCAACCTCGGAAAGACTCTTGATTCCTTTAAATAATGGAATAAGGTCTTCAGTTTTTATGTTAATTAATGTTAAATCCTCTTTATTAGCCATTAAGTCCTCTATAAAAGGGCAAGTCCTCAAAGTTTGCAAAATAAAATTCAATGAAAAGTGGAAAAAGTGGTTAGTGGTGTCCCTTTAATGTTGCAGGTATTAAGGGTGCCTAACTAAATATGGCTTTGAGTTGTTAACCATAAATGGGTGTGTCTTCAAAGTCTCGGTATCTCTCCTGAATCTGACAACACTGAGCTATTTCACTTTGGCTGGAAGCATATTGAGGAATTCAGAGGATAAATGTATCCGGCCTTGGAAACGTAGCTTGGATGAGAATCTCCCTCCTTTTGGTTTGTAGCCTACATTCAACTCTAATAGATGCAAGAGAATTATCCACCAGCCTTTGAGAGGAATTCTTTTTGATTTAGGAAGCACATCGTGGAGGAAAATATAGGCCTTTACCTCTACTCTCCGCCTCTTTAGGTCTGCCCTACAGCTGTCTCCTTTTGGTCCTATGCAGTCTGGACAGCAGCCTGTACTCTGCCCCACATTTTTTATTTGGCGTGCCTGTCGCTGCGTAAAAGTTGCCGCGCCGCGCATGGAAATGTAGCTTCTTTGCGCACGACGAGGTCTCCAAAATGGACTTACGATCCGAACTCCTCAAGTCCATCTGGTACGCTTTCACATCGCTGGACGTCGAGAAGTGCGGAAAAGTGTCCAAGTCGCAGTTAAAGGTAAGCAGGGAGATGGGAGTAACGTAACGGATTCTCACTCTTAATGTTCTTTGTGTGCTTTGACGTGCTAACGTGTAATTTGGGGAATCAACGTTATAATCTGTGGAAAGAGTTCACACACTGACGCCCTGCGAGCTCATACTCAAATCCAAAAATAAGACGTCTTCTATCAGACACGTAGCCTATTCAGACTGGAGGTGTCAAGTGAATCCATTTTAAGCTCAAAGTCCGAACCTTTTGTCTATGTCACAGAACAGCACACAGTGACATAATACCACCACTGCCAGGCTTTTGAATCATAAAGGCTTGCCAGAACAGCACATATAGATCTTATCTGTGCTCTCTTTCCTCTCAGTGAGGGCTTTATTTGCCCTGTTGCTTCTCGTCCAGTTCCTACATGCCTAATTGTGCTCCCACAGGAGTGAAGAATCCAGGGAAATAGCAGGAATCTGTTCTGACATGCTTAGTCACTCAGGCAGAGGACTGTCTGCCTGTGCTCAAGTATTTTAACTGCAGAGCAACAAATGACAAGGAGACTAAACCTTTGCGTATTGTGATTTATACATCTTTATCTGTGTGTCTGTGTTATTCATCAGGTGCTTTCCCACAACCTGTACACGGTGCTGAACATCCCACACGACCCTGTGGCTCTGGAGGAGCACTTCCAGGATGATGATGACGGCCCGGTGTCTAATCATGGCTACATGCCCTACCTCAACAAATATATACTGGACAAGGTACTAGCACAATACAATCTTTTAATTATATTGATGAAGTATCTCACTGTAGCATTATTATAAGAATATTTAAGGGCCTTTTTAAAGTGTGTGTAAATGCTTATAGTTCTTCCACAGTTGTGGATTACAGTAATATGAGTTTTAAACTACATAATAATCTGAAATAAGCCATTTGTAAAAGATAACATGCTGCTGAGAAATGCTACTTTAAATATAACGTTATAATGAATGCTGCAGGTTTATAATCCCTATGGATGCTTGCATGCAATAAGGGGGAGGTCATAGTGTAGTACATTAAAACTCTTCAAATGTTTTAGTTGTTTGCAGAGATGGTACATTGAATCAGAGTTATAAATAACAGCAAACATATAGATAAGTACTGTATCTACAATCCCAAACTAGCAGAATAGAACTTCAGAGAGTTGATGTATTTAGACTGATGGAAGGAGAAGGCTGCGGAGATTCTCTTCTTCTTTATGTAATCCAATCCCATGAAATGACCAAAAGCTAAAAATAATTTACTCAATGAATA